ATTAGAATTTCTTTACAATATTTTGGTACGTTTTCAAAAACAAAAAAAAGAAAAAAGAAGAAAATTATAAAAAAAAAAACAATACAAAAGAGAAAAGAATTTTTGTTTTGGCTCTCTTTTTTTTTTGTTAATTCAACTTTGATGAGAGATCCTTATAACAGTATAACAGTAGCGGTAATAAATTATGATTCATAAAAGATTTTGATTATTTCCTGTTTTTTTTTTTGCTGTTTGTTTTCTTTGCTTTTGAATTTGTAATAATAAGGTACTTTTTGTGTAAAAATTTGTAAAAAACAAAAATAATTTTCCTCTAAAGTAATTTTGAAGTGTACGTAGGTACCAAAGTGAATTTATAATAAACATTCTAAGAAAAAGTATTAGAAAAGATTATAAAAATGGTGGTTCTTAAAAAGATGGCACAAGTAATCAAAAAAATTGCATTTTAATTCATATGAATGAAAATAAGAAAAAAAAAACAGAATTTAAAATGCAATTTTAATTAAGAAACCTTAAAAACTTAATTTTAAGTATATGAGGTTTGAAGCTTTGTAAAATTGGTTTATGTCGTGGATTAAATGTTAAATTGCAGACTTTTCTTTCTTTTCCAATTTAATATCGTAAATTGTTTTCAATAATTTATTTCAGTGTATTCGTATTGTAGCGAATTGATTTCGTAATAAACAAATTATTTTTCACAAAAGAAGAAGACCTTGTTGCTTGACCTTTAATAAGACCATACGGTTAGGCTGCAAATAAATATAATGCCATCTTTTTAAAATATAAAATAATTTCACATTATATTTTAATTTGAAAGAAAACAACAAAATTATTTATTGCAACGACGCGTTATACACTCTGGTGGTAATTTTTGAAAATTCAGAGCAGTGGGGTAATAAACGTAGGTAAGATTATACGTGTAATATAATATAAATATTATTATATTTATAGATATAATCTTACATATAATTACACAGGATGATTCGCCAACAAATTAGGAGCAATATTCCATCGGGTAGAGAGTCGAAAATGAGTCAAATTTTGGCTCGAGAAATAGTAGTAAATCAGAACCGTTTTCGAGTTACAGGGCAAATTATCGGGTGAAAAAAAATAGTAAAATGAAAGATGAGGAAAATTGGAATTTTCTTAATGTTCGAATGCTTGTATTTCTGAAAAAATATATAAAACCGAATAACCCGCTGTTATTTATTTAAAGCCCTCTTAAAGTTCTTTTAAAAACGATTACTTTGAAACTTCTTTTTTTTTTGGAACGGAAGTTATAGGCAATAACATTTAAGTATGTTAAAATTACGCCAAATTTTCTTAAAATTTCTTGGTTCTCGAAAACGGTTCCGATTTAACACTATGTTTCGAACAAAAATTTTACTCATTTTTTATCTTCTACTCGGTTTTATATGGTTCCTAATTTGTTGTTGAATCATCATGAATCTATTTGAATTTGGGGTGCAGAAACCTGTGTATTTGGTGTTCGTTATGTAATTTCTTACAATAGTTATACCGTTATGCACGACGTTGTGTTCGTATTAAGAACAGAAGCGAAAAAAAAATATAATAGGTAAAAATGTCGGCAAAATAGAAAATTTTAAAGTGAGTTATAACTTAAATGGGATTTTTAACCCGTATTGTATAGTAACGTTGATCCTTAAATCAAGTTGATTGTTTTATTTGGTTTAGTTGATTTGTACTTTTTTTTTTTTTTGGGGGTATGTCAAAAAGAACAATTTTAGAAAATGTTGTTTTTACAATATAAACTCTAGTTTATTTGACTTTATTTTATTTGAAATTTTGTTCCTCTTGCGTTCCACTTCTTTTGTTCTTCTTCTTTCTAGTTCTTTACATTTAACAGGAAAGGTATGAATTTTTTTTTATATTTTTTTTTTATTTCTACATACAACGACAATGGAACTTCCTTTTAATAAATGACTTGAACGATTCTTTTCTCTCTTCTTATTTTTTAAAGCTGTCAGGAATTGGACTTTTAACAATTTCTTTTCTTTTCAAATATATTTTGTTACGTGTATTTTACTGATATCCTTATTGCTTTGGGTTTTTTATCTTCAAAAAAAAAAAACAAAAAAAAAAAATATAATAAATTTAAAAGGTATTTTTACAATTACAATTTTCTTTCTCTACTTTTAAACTTTTTTTGTTTTCCATTCGCTTACTTTTTGGAAATGAAAACAATTCCAACACAGACGCGTTTTAATGAAATTGATTACTTTGAAATTTTTAAAGATTTCATATTAGGATAAGAAGGTGTGTACGTATTCGTAATAAACCTATAATTTATATGTATGTACATATGTACATATATGTTTGTATATTGGATTAAAGAACGTATATAAGTCCCATGTACAATAAGTAGAACAAAATAAAAAATGTGAACAAATTTAAGAATATTTTCGTATCGCGTGTCAAAGTACTTTGTCAGATATTAAGAAGGTCAAAGATTCTTCAATACAATAATGTAGAGTAAAAAGTTAAAAGAGATCAAGATCTATTTTTTATAGAAGATTCTCATTAATTTGCAAATTAGATTTCAACAAAAGACTTTTGTAGTATAAGGAAAAAATTTTCTAATTATAGTTAAAAATCTTATATTTTATGTGAAATTATGATTTTCATAAAAAAATGAAGAAAATTTTGTGATCTTTCGAAGTTCTAATAATTTTAAGCGATTTTTCTGTTTTTTTTTTCCGAGAAGCATTTTCATTTCGGAAGCAAAATAATTCTTAGCAGAAATTTTGTTCTCTAACAAAATGTTTGTGTGTCCCACTTCTCTAGAAGTTAAAGCTCGAGTCCTAAACAATTTTTTGCAGCGAAATAACAAAAGATTTGTGAAAGCCTACAATATACATTTTATTTTATATACATCAAGCTACAAATATACATTTTATTTTTTCTCACAAATCTTATTTAATACATGTTCGGGCGGCAAAATGCTATTATATTCGCATATACATTTTGTATAAATCTGAATGGAAACGAGAGAGTAATCGCATTTACGTAGACTTATTTAGCACATGTTCGGGCGGCAAGATGCCAATATATCTGTATAAATATTTTATGTGAATCTGAATGAAAACGTTAGAACAATTGCATTTACATAGACTTATTTAGTACATGTTCGGGCGGCAAGATGCTAATATATTTGTATATAGATTTTGTATAAATCTAGATGGAAACAAGAGAGTAATTGCATTTAAATTGACTTATTTAGTACATGTTCGAGCGGCAAGATGCCAATATTGTATAAATATTTTGTATAAATCTGTATGGAAAAGTTAGAATAATTTGCATTTACATAGACTTATTTAGTACATGTTCGGGCGGCAATATGCTATTATATTCGCATATACATTTTGTATAAATCTGAATGGAAACGGGAGAGTAATCGCATTTACGTAGGCTTATTTAGTACATGTTCGGGCGGCAAGATGCCAATATATTTGTATAAATATTTTGTATAAATCTAAATAGAAAAGAGAAAGTAATCGCATTTAAACAGAATTATTTAGTACATGCTCGGGCGGCAAGATGCCAATATATTTGTACATGTATTTTGTATAAATCTGAATAGAAACAAGAGAGTAATCGCATTTAAACAGACTTATTTAGCACATGTTCGGGCGGCAAGATGCCAATATATTTGTACAAATATTTTGTATAAATCTAAATAGAAAAGAGAAAGTAATCGCATTTAAACAGAATTATTTAGTACATGCTCGGGCGGCAAGATGCCAATATATTTGTACATGTATTTTGTATAAATCTGAATAGAAACAAAAGAGTAATCGCATTTAAACAGACTTATTAAGTACATGTTCGGGCGGTAAGATGCCACTATATTTGTATAAATATTTTGTATAAATCTGAATGGAAACAAGGGAGTAATTGCATTTAAATTGACTTATTTAGTACATGTTCGGTCGGTTCTGTTAAAAATTGTGATTTACTTCAATTAGAATCTATAATATTGTTCATTAATTATTCAAAATAAATTAGGTACCGAAAAAAATTCCTTGTTACTTACCATAATAATGATTACGAATAGATAAAATCAATATTATATCTACATCAACTTTAAGTACGTATTGAACTTGAATACTAATTTACAATGTACAATGTAGTGTAGGTTCTCTTTTTGATGCAATATATGATTTATTAAATGGGTAAAATGTTTGAGTATTCTTGAGTATTAAAATTTCTCAAATAATAATTATTTGAATAAAAATATAAGCTTACTATACTGTTGAATATTTGGTTATGACATGTCAATTCAATTATGAAATATTTTACAATCTGATTTATATTTAAAATATGAAACATAACATTACTGCGTATAAGATCCATATATAATAAATGCTTTATTTATAAAAGACATTGATTGCAATTAAAATTCAATCTATGCAATTATTTTTAAAATGAATAGGTGACCACATTAAATTTATTCAGTTTGATTGGCCATTTTAATATTGAATAAAGGAAATCCTGGCGCCCAAACAATATTTAATTATTTTGCGAAAATTGGTGCCTTGGACAAAATGTGTTGATCGAAATATGGATTTTATGTTTTTTATTATATCATGCAATTTCAAAATTCTATCCTCTATTCTCCTTTAAGTTTGAAAACTGTGAACGCTTCAAAAATCACCCCTAACTTTCGCATACAAAAATACAGTTATACACAATCATTATAAAAATGTTCAAATATATTTTTTCCAAATACTTTAATAGGCTTATAAAAATTAATTTTATATTTTTTCTTGTTTGTAATTTAAATCGGATTCTCATTCATAATATTTTATAAAAAAAAAAAAAAAAACAAAAAAAAAAACAAATATTTTTACCTAAAACAGGTATTTTGTGTTTTAATTTTTGTAATATTTTAATTCCACCTAATACTCGTATGTAAATTTTATAAATAATTTAATTATAATTTTTTAATTTTCCATTTTCTTTTTTATTTTATTCAAATTTAGATGCATCATCCAATACAAATGAAACCGGCGGATAGCGAAAATAGGAATGGTAAGTTGAAAACTTCACGGTTTACAATAAAATTTAAATTTTTTTGTAAATTTTTATTTTAATCGTATCAATGCGCTCAAAAAAAAATTCAAAATAAATATATTAATTTGTTTTTGTAGAACAATTAAAATTTAATAATTGATTCCTTTATTCTTGTAATAATAAGTTCCAGACAATAGTTTCCAATCGGCTTTATTGTAGTAATTAAATTTTTTGTTATTAAAAATGATTAATTTTCTATAAGGGACTTAGGAGTAATTAGCGGACAACTGAAAAACCTACTTATTGTTCTAATTTTGTATAACAGTTTTTTTTCCTGAAAATTATTTGAAAACTCAAATACTTTCTAATATTAGTTTAAATGCGTGTTTCTCTGAAAATGGTGGGCGTCAACCAAGTTAACTAAATTTCTGGTGAATATAATATTTAATTCAGTTATGAACTGTGATCAATTAAAATTATAGTAAATAAGAGATTTTGTGTTATTAGACTCTAGCACTACTTTCAAGCAGTTTTACAGTATTTATGTTATGTTAGTTTATACAGCTCAAGCGATATTACATAATATGTTGGAGTGGAACATACTACAACAAAATTCAGTTACTACTAGTTAGTCAAAAACATACTGTTAGATTAATTTGCAAAAAGGTGGCGCGAACTCCGATTTTTTATCTATTCAAATAAAGAATAATTTTGTCATTACGTAATCTTTACTTTTTTAAAATACTCAAATTTTTCTTAATTAGATCTGGAAATGTTATTGTTATGCGTACTCATATAAATATAATTTGAAAATTAATGTTAAGTTGCAAGTTGTTGTAATCTAGCTATAATAAACATCTATTTTCCAGATTTTGTCAAATAGTTGCGCCAAGAGTTTTAAATAGATTACCTGAATATATAAGAACTATTTAGTTGTTATTTTTAATTTAATATGTGAATTTGTATCTATTTTTTAAGTCAATTATTGATTCTTGTATTTAATTATGAATTTTGAAATTCTAAATAATTTCTTAGATTTTGTTTGCCGTTCGCTACTTGTCTTGTGGGTAATAGGACGACTGTAGCTATTTGTCGTATATTATACTATTATTTGTTTGTTATTTTTTATATTTTTTAAATTATATTATTATAATAATTTTATGAAGATTGAAATAAAGAATTATTATTATTAAGTTTCATGTTAATGTACTGATTCCATGTTTGTTTTACCAAAGTGTTCTACATTCACGTATTCTATTTAAATTTCAATTCATTTTTTTATTTTTTTTTTTAAATTCCATAAATAATGAATAAAATGCAATTAGTTTATAAAATCTATTAATATTATTTTAGAAATATCAAAAAATTTACGAACGCATAAACTAATAATTAAACGCTTTCGAGTATATTGTATTGATATTATGCAAGAATTTTTCTATAAATTTTGTTACATAATGCAGTAAAAACAGCATATTCATTATCTATATATATATATATATATATATCGCATAAATAATATGACAATTATTTTGTATTTATTCAAATATTGCCATAATATCCTTATTATTAGGTCAGAAAAATTTTTTTTTTTTGTTTTATTAAAATACCCAAAATCTATCTCCAAAAAAAAAATATCATAAATAATAATTAGTTTATATAATAGATTACATTATAATATTCTTGGTATAAAATTTAAATTCATTAATTATTATATATTATCATTGTTGTAATATTACCTATAACATAATTTATATAATATAAATTTAATATTTATTGAAAGTAATTTTTATTTTTGGAAAAAAATATAAAATTTTTTCATTTTAACAATATAAATTTATAATTATATTGTACGAATTTCAGTTTTTATGTAATCTGCACTATAATATAATATTCATATATATATTATGTACTATATATACAATATATATATATATATATATTCCCTCATAAAAATAAATGCATTTCCAATGTTATATGCGATCAAAAGATTAAAAGAAACAAAACATGATAAGAAAAAAACAAACCAAAATATTATGTAGATTTTTTTTTATTTACGTATAATGTGCGTGTATGTGTACACTATATTATATACCTACCATATAACAGTTTATATGAAATATTTAATTTTTGAAAAATTCAACAATTTCAATTTAAAATAAAGAAAAAAAGAAATCGTAAATATTTCCGTATAAAATTGTATTTTGTGACATCCTGAAAGTATAAACGATTTTATTTTTATTATACATATTATAGTTTTTTATTTCAACAATTTGAAATTGTAACTCTTGTAGTTATGGTTATAAATTTTACAATAGTTTGTTGTAACTGTATGATTTATGCTGCAAGAAAAAAGAAAAAAAAATTAATTCGAGTGAAATTTGCATTGAAAATTAAAAAAAAAAATTTTTTTTAAAGGGTAATCTCGATTTTGATAAAATAGACTTATTTAGTACATGTTCGGGCGGCAGCTTGGTATTATATTTGCATATATATTTTGTATAAATCTGAATGGAAACGGTAGAGTAATCGCATTTAAGTAGACTTATTTAGTACATGTTCGGGCGGCAATATGCTATTATATTCGCATATACATTTTGTATAAATCTGAATGGAAACGTTAAAGTAATTGCATTTACATTGATCGCAAATATATTTGTATAAATATTTTGTATAAATCTGAATGGAAACGGGAGAGCAATCGCATTTACATAGACTTATTTAGTACATGTTCGGGCAGCAAGATGCAAATATATTTGTATAAATATTTTGTATAAATCTTGATTTTAAAGAGGGAAACTGCTTCTTGACTTATTTTCGTACTAGGTTGTTAATTTCTAAAAATGAAAGAACACTACATTATAATAAGTCGTTCCACCAATTACCCTAGCCCAATTATAAATCAACGAATTTCAAACGAACATATCCGAAGAATCCGAGATAATGGGAAACAATTATAAATATATATAAAAATTGAAGAATTAGAAATACAGATTAATTAAGAAAATATTAATTAAGCTGTTTAAAGATACAGAAAAATTAAGAAGAGTCCCCGGTGTTTACGGATATTTATAAGTTATTTTAAATTAGGTCCTAATTAGTTCTCAATTTACCTTACATTGTGATTGTTTTTTTTTTTCTGCCTCAATGTTTTTAAAGACCTTATTCTCTCAGGTAATCTTTATACTGTATAAATTTTGGGGGAAAAAAATTATTGAATCGTAATGTTATTATTATGGGAGCAATTTATATTCAAGGTGATTATCCGAATCTGATTTTTTTTTTTCTTTGTGTTTTTTTTATTTTGATCCTAATTAAATTCATTCTGAGATTAAATTCTGCTTTATGTTCCAATTTTACCTTGTTTTTTTCATTCTTATATTTTGTATGTATATAAGAGTTATTTACCAACAAAAGTTGAGCGATCTGTGAAAAATTAAGAAACCGTAAAATATCGTGGGTATTGTTAAAATTTCGCATGAAAAATTTTTTTTTTGTTATAACATTTAGCGGTTATACTCATTTTTTTTTGTTTGAATTTTTTTGTTTTTTCATTTTTCCTTCATGTTATACACTTAATTTTTAATATGTTATTGTAAGCATTACTGTTAAAGGATTTTCGATTTTTTATTTTTATTTACGGATTTTTTTTTTTAATTATTTTTGTTTTCCTTTTTATTTTTGTTTTTATTTTTCGCAATTATATTCATTAACATTTAATGTAGTTTTTATTCAGTGTGTTTTAAACTGTTTAAAATATTTTGAATTAAAATTTAAAATGGAACTTTTGTGAGAGCCAATTGTAATGAAAATTATTAAAGTAGTACTGTAAGATCGGAATCCTAATATTAATTTACTAATACACAATTCTTTGTTGCTGCCTTTGTACTTTTCTCGAACTTACTATGTGTTGACAGGACCCTAAATACTTTGTTCTCTGATATAGTATTCTCCAAAGTAAGTAGATTCTGTGGTGCAGGAAATGAGATATCAGTTCACACTTTGTACAATTGTGATGCGATTATCTGGATGTTCAACAACATCCTATTGTATGTTGTATCGAATTCATTGTGCAGGGTCTGCCGGCGGGAACTGATGTTAAGGTTTTCGGTATGTCATTCCAATGAATCCTAGGAGAAAATTTTGTCCAGATCGGCAACAACATCTTGTTAGATGATTATGAGATGATTATGTAGAAAACTATGGCTAATCTCTCGCCAGTAACATGAGCTCTATCTACATATGTATATATTGCAGTCATACAAAAAAAAAACATTTTGAAAACATTGTTGAAATTTTATACTTACGTTATACATATATACACATACACCTATTTTATTATTACCGCTTATATTTTATTATTACTTATATTATACTTACATAATGTTATATAGCATGAATTTGTATGTACAAATTGTACGATAAAATTCATTCAGGCGCCTTAATTATGTTACTCAACTTACACAGTTCTAGTAATTTAGTTTATCCACTTGAGTTAAATTTACGCTGCATAATTATTGAAGTTTTTTTTTTTTTAATTTTTTTTTCGCTATTTTTTTTTGTTTTTTTGTTTTTTATTATTTTGTTAAGCGTTTTATTTAGTTGACAAAATTTCATACTTTGTTCATTATTTTTTTTTGTTTTTTTTTTTTTTATTTGTGTGTACTTGTATTTGTGCATAATGAATGAATATTAAAAATGAAAAGCAAACAAAAAAAAAAGGATAAAAACACAAAATACGTTGAGAGATGATTTCAATGCTTTCAATTTTACAAAACTTATTTTGCCTATAACTTTTATGATATTAAAATGCAATTGGTTTGGTAATAAATGTGTAATTAAAAAAAAAAAAAAATTTATTTTAATTTTATATGCCATAGTTGAATATTACATACAATATACAAATATATAAATTACTAAATCAATATTGAATTATGAAATGGAAATATATTTACACGTACATAATAAGTAAAAATTAATAATTATATAGAGCTTCAATAATAATTATAGATAATTTTATT